ATATTAAATCCTACCCCACTGATGTTTGGAAAAAGTTATACAGTGAACAAAAGTTGTCTTGTGGCGAACAACGTTATTGAAGATTTGCAACTTGTTTCACGCGAGAGAAGAGTTAGTTTTTAAATCTGTTTCTGGGATTATATGGTCGCATGCGTTGTTGAAATGCGTCAACTTCGCTCCTCGGGGACAACGGTTCCGTAAAACTTGGTTGAGAATGTTGCGGAAGCATGTCGATTTCGTCATGTACGCAAACCTGATCCTCCTTTTCGGGTATGATTGTTCCTTCCGGACCGACGTTAATTTTATTCTCGTTCTCAACCAGGTGTTCGCCCATGGGTGCCAGTTGTTGGATTGATACCGTTTCCTTTCTCCTGTTTGAAAATCATGCATGTGCGTATGCAGGGTTACACACGTTTTACAAGAGGACCAGACATTCTTCAATTAAATCGGACCCGGTGATGATAGCCAGGTAGGAATAGAAAAGCCAAACAAAGACCTCCGATCATATTTGAAAATTCTTTCTTATGAGGTCATGTTTGTTCAACTGCACCGAAGCAATCGGATCGAATGCGATGTATCGAGTCGGACGATCTCCCATTGATGAGCTGGAAAATCACGTTAGCTTAGGGCGACGGAAATGGCTCTCCACAGTGTTACATTCAAGCGCTCGACTTGTCTATTGGCTTGTGGCTAATATGCGATTGTTCGACTTGTTGCTATTCTTTTATAAAGAAAGTCACGCAGTTCACCCGACCTAAGAGAGAAACCTCTACCTGAGTGAATGTAAGCTTGCATACCAAACATCGAAGAGATCAGACAAGCAGCTTATCGTAGTGGAAGAGGTCAAATCGGAGCATGCAAAAGCTACTTGGAAACAAGAAACTCGTCCACGATTATTAACGGATGGGACTTATGGGATTTCGAGCGAAGGGGCCTTTAAAATCAACATTGAAGCGTTCAAACGATTGAGTCGCTTTTACCAGTTGACCCAATGGGGATTGAAGAAATCTCGATTCAGCTTGTAACAAATTGCACAGCTCGAATTTAATTTAATTGGATTTAATTTCCGCCACAGAATACGGCACCTTTTTGGCGCGGACGAATAGGGTCACACAAGTTATGCCCAGATACCACAGATAATCATGTTGTTTTAGGTTCGAGCTGGCAGACGAACTGCTGCAGCAAGTACATGAGCGTGTATCGGCTCCATGATTGAACTTAGCGGGTCCGTATATAATATCGTAGTGAAAGGGCGCAAATGCAAACCACCAGCGCTGCATTTTGTCATTGTTACTCTTCTTATCCCTCATACTGTTGTGCATGCAAGCCACAAAAGCTTGCTTTGTGACCAGCTTGAATGGATTATCAAACACTAGGTACCGCCATTTTTGCACTGCCTCAACAATTCCGAAGGTTACTTTTTCTAATGCGCAGTAGCGCTTCTCAATGGATAAGGTGCGAGTAAAGAAGCTTATCAGTCTTCCGCCTTGGTTTGAGCTAACCGAGGTAGCCACATCAGAAGCGTCTGTTTCAACTACCAAAGGCACGTAGGGGTCGGCACTTTTAAGTTTCTCCTTTAACTTCTCAAAGAACTTTTGTCCGGATGGTGGCGTGAGAAATAGTGTGTTGTGAGCGAGTGGACTGATCTTGTCAGAGTAGTGTGGTATACGTTGGGAGTAGTAAGCGAACATCCCTGTCAGTCTCCGTTGTGCCTTGATGTCGGTGGGAGAAGACAGTTCTTGTGCATGCCCCTATCACTCGGGTCCAGGTTTAATTATTCCCTTCGAAACTTCATGTCCTGGGACTTTAACCTACTTAGGCCCGGACATGCTTTTTATGGCATTGGAAGTGATTCAGTACTTTTCAAAAAACTTGGTAGACGACCGGTTAATGTATTTATGGTAATAGTCTATCACCATAACTACATTAACCGGTCGTCTACCAAGTTTTCTGAAATGATGACTTCCCGATCTGTTCCAAATATGTTCCAAGATATTGATTCAGTACTTTAAGGAACGTTCAAAAACCCATCTAAGTTCTGTCGATGTTCGATAGTGTCATTTCCACAGATCGTGACGTTGTTTATATAAGCAAATGCATCTACCAATTTTTCTTTGATGATTAGTTCACCATTGATTCTTTGAAAACAAGTGATACCATTGGTTACTCCAAAAGGTAAGCGACATTATTGCCAAATTTTGCTACGGGTCTCAAAACCCGTTTAAAGATTGTTCTTCAGGTTTGATATGGGTTTGATGGTATGCACTCTTTACATCTGGTACTAAACGTTTCAGACTTAGGGATTTTCTGGAACATTCGTTGTTTTAATCGGTTTATTCTTTGACTGTAATCTACGACCATCGGTCGTTTATCTTTTGTTGGTAGTGACAAGTACCTGCTCTCCATGGCTTGATTATCTTTTCCTGTAGGAGACGGCTTATTTCCGAGCGAATGATAGCATCATCCTCAAGACTGTCGTCTGGACTTTTTCGCTATTGGATGGCACTCCGCTGCGAGGTTACGGAACAGAGATGGGGCTTCATCGTTAGTGCCAGTGAGACTGTAAATGTGCAGGGGTGTTTTCTAGCCACTGAGGGGAATCTCCAGTTTTTCGTCTAGTTGAAGCTGCGTAGGGACCAGGCGACCCTCTCAGTTTCCTTAGCCCACGCGCAACTGCTGGTGATTGCGCGGCAGCGAAGCGTCGATACACAGTACCGGCGTACTACTAATACCTTCCTTCGATGCATTTGAGGGAACGTGTGTCCGAGAAAGACATCTGAACACAGATCATCTAACACGGAAAGTCTGACGTTGTGGTAGACGTCTCCTTTATACGTAGCCGTCACGTTGCAATGCCCGCCGGTGCACATCGGCAGTTAGATTGAAACCATAGATATGCGTGTGCGAGACGGATTAGTCTCCCTGTCCACCTTCTGAGCAACAACAGCAGAGGCTTAACTTTCGGAACTGCCAGTATCAATCGACGCCTCCAGATCAGATCCAATAATCTGTATCTCTATGGCAGCCTGCATTAAGCAATCAGGAGCAGCTGCACTTCTGGAGTTAAGAATTAGTAAATTTGCCCGAAAAGTGTCCTTTTTACGTGTTAAAAAAATAAAATAAATCGTCAGCTGTACGCCGTAACGGCGCTTCGCTGCCACGCGACCACCACCAGTCGCGCGTGGACTGAGTATACCGCGAAGACGTCCGCCCCCACTCGGATTCGGACCGGTGATCTTATGGTTGCAAACCAGACGCGCATACCACTCGGCCACCGGCCGACTTTTACACGAGTTAGACATTTTTTTACATGAGTTAGACAAACTTTCCCTTTTTCTCACGACTCGTGCAAACTGCTTTCATAGCTGGACATCTGGCCCGTGAATGTCGAGTAAAACCCCAAGACTATCACTTCCTATGATGACGGTAGAGGTTTGGCAATTTAGGGAGGTGACTCGGATCTGTTGGACACTGATGCGGGCGGTGGCGCAATTACGACATTTTGGTAACACTATGAGTGTTGGTGTGTCATTTCCGTGGACCTCACTAACTCGAATGCAGTTTGAAAATTTCACCTGCCGTGTTCCAGTAATCGTTGTAGCCGACGAGAAAGTGTCCCCGTAGTAAAACTGTTACGAATGGTACCACACTCTTTTGTTCCGCGCTGACTGCCTTGTTTCAGTCCTTAGCGAGGACTTTGAGCCTCTGACTGAATTGTTCCAACTTATATCGGTTTTTTTGTTTGCACATAGCTAAAACGTGGCTCGCGAAAACTTCCTTTTTGGGCTTGATATATTATCGCCCTCTAGCGTTTCGCTGTAGTCACTGCTCTGTGATATACTCGAAACCTGATGGGGCGAGGTAGTTCCCTAGGAATTTTCCTTTATAGATAAATAAGGTTTTATCCCCGACTGTGCAAGACACTGTAAGAGGCATGATCATTGGGCATTTCAATAGAATAAAAAAGTTACAAAAGTTCTGTTACCTTTGAATTCACTGTTACTGTGCATCTGGAGCATTTGGATAAGGGTCGAAAGCTTCCGGTATGAGTAAACGATCCATGGATTTCGATTCACAAACGAATACATTGTAGTATAACGTAGCAGTCAAAGACAGAACGGCGAGTGAAGACTCAATACCTGAGATATCATGCTTTATTCGTCTGCGAATAGAGACGAAAGCTAAACATTTAACGGATGGTAGAACTGTAGTGGCAACGACAAATATGCGAAGAGAAATAATATTACAGTATCCACTTAGGGTACAACAGTTGCTTTGATCCATGTGCCATTTTCGTCCAGGATCGTTCAACTTCCATCTCGGGCTGGTCATAGGAACAAGCCCGCTCACCGTGTTCTACGACCTAACTTATACTGAAAAGCTATTTTCCAAACATTTCGGACGTCATAATCCCCAATTGCCTGCGAATCATCCACAACATGCCGAATCACCTGCAACCAGCTGTCGTCCAATGCTTACTGGACCTAAAGTCAGGTGATAGCAAGACAGGTCAACTTACACTAATACTCACGGCACTTCACTTTCACCAAGCAATCTCAGTTTGTCGACCCTGCCCTGTAAAGTTGACTGCTGGACTTTACCACCGACAGTGTCCTGTATACAAGATATAGCTTCCTGGCTTCAACTAACAAACGTCACACTAGTTTTTCAATTACAGCCTGTGAGCAAGTTGATTCATTGGCTTTCTAAGTAACGCATTATTTTTTCTTGTGATATATTTTCAATCAAGCATGCCGGTTCTCCACGCCTGTTGGGAAGTTATTCACACTTTTGTTTTTCTGTTTTCTTTATACCTTGATTGAAAGTAATTTACCCTTCATTCCTCGCTTATGTTCTCTCGATTGAACAATTGCACTAATCACTCATTTTCCCACGCTGTTTGTATGTAAGGGTAGGTTTTTGTGAATTTGACTTGATTGATTCAGGTCGACTTGTATATTCTGGAGACAGTGAAATTTATGTTTTTCCTCCTTTCTCTGGTAAAATCCATCCTTTGCCGAACTTTCAGAACTTGACGTTCAATACTTCGTCTCTAAATTGTATAATGAGCCTTTTCGGCCTTGGTGGTTCCAGTTTAGGAACCAGACCTAAGTAAGTTTTAATCGTGTTCACCCGTCGATATCACTTTCAGCCCTAGTCAACAAACAAAAGATCTCCCCTTGTGCCCTGAAATCTTAGCTACCGTTGATCAATTCAAGTAGTTATGTCAATACAACCGTGATTTCCTCCAGGGCGTTTGTCTCAGAGCAGAAGAAGATTCGCGAAGAGCTTGTCAACCTTTCACAACAGCCATTGGTCAAACTCAAAGCTGATTTAACTTCAATGGTTCACCAAGTGTCTTCAGTAACTTCTGAACTTCGATGCATTGGAGCCCAACGCGACCGTTTAAAGGAAGATGTTTTAAAAGTATGTTAATATCCTCCGTTTTAAAATGTAGGAGGAAGGTTTCATAGGCATTGCCCAGAGAAATTTTGAATCCGGTTCTAATTTCCATTTGGAAAATACCGCGACCACAGAGTGAGTTTCCATCCTCTCTATCCTTACTTATTCGCTCCAGATACTTTCTGAACAAATTGCTGGAATTCGATGTTCGAATGCGGTCTTATAAACAGGAATTGGAAGTGTTGGAAGAGCATGCCAACACACGAGCACGATATCAACTTTCTCCAAAAGGTTTGCGTTTGTTCTTGGAATCACCATCCATCTTTGTAGCGTTGGTATCTCTTCTTCGACAAATGGATAACGAATTTATCTGTTTGGCTGCTCAGCTGCATTCGGTGTACGAACAAATTAAGGTTAGTTGGCAAGATTGTCAGCAATTTGGTTAATTTATAGTAGTCGCGTTTTTCCTTCAAGCAATTAGTGACCACGGACTATGAATTTGCAGTTGTAACAAGATATCGTCTTGTCTCAGCTTCGTAGATGTAGAGTCCGTGTTGAGTATGGTAACACCTAGTGAAGTAGCTCATGTCAGCTTCGGTGATCTATTTGTAGAAACGCAGCGGTTCGTGTACCTCTTCGACTCATTACGATACACTACGTAGGCTTTTGGGCAACTTGAGGTCTATTTCTACTACCTTGGTCAATGGTTAAAAGTCAGACATGCGGGTTAAGCAAGTGCTCAGTGAACACAGTTGTGGGTCACTGGTCGCATATCCACCAGAAGTTGCTAGCAACTGGATGTCGTAACCGGTAAAATTACCATGCAACTTTCAACTTATATTTCAATATCTCACTGAATAACCACATCTGACATCTGCGCCATCTGCTATACTCCGGCCTACTTACCTTGTTTCCCTGTATGATGCCCCTGTGGTTTCATTCCAACACCCGCTGTCACAATTGCTCGCTCCCACATCGTGTATACTTACCCCGTGGGAGCACACACACAGGCTGACATTGATTCATTATCGACCCAGGGGCACGTCCGCCCTTGTTGTTCCGTTCATCTTACAGTAGCCCCGAGACACATTACGCCCACCTTCCTTTAAGTTGTCCTATGAATCCAACGCATTGTGTCCCTCTGTGCGCTGTACAGCGAACCAGTTGGGTAGGGTTATGTGACCCAATAAAAGCCGTAGGATTCGGCTCGCGGACTCTGTGATTTTGCTGTATAGTGGCAAGTCCGATGATTTGCCTTTCTTTGTGCTTTGTAAAGATCCGGTTACTTCTATACTGAACGGTTATTGTTGGGGCATATCCCTATTGCATTATGATATGTACTTTACTAGTACCGTAGTTGACTTCCGGCCTTGTTTTGGTTTGACCGGATAGTACTACCACTTCCTAGAGCCTCAAGCGAAACTGTCGCTTACACGTGTCTTCACGTGGCAAATCAGGTTATAAGTCTGGTCATTGGCTCTCTACTGACTACTCGCCGACACATTCCAGCTGGAAGCGAGCACAACGCGACTCGCAAACGTCTCAGGGCGAAGCTGCGTGCTAACCTGCGTGAAACCTCGTCCTCTCACAGCGCACCAAAGATGGAAACGGCTGCTGCCTTGGTGATTATCGTAATTTATTTCGTCTGATACGGGAAACGGGCTGCAGGAGCCTGGCGAGGTTATATGCGACCAGAATGGACAGCCGATCCACAGCTTCTCAGAAGGCTTAGGTTGTGTCAAGAAAGCCGTAGGAAAGGTAAAAATGTATCTCGCAAAATTAACCAAGTACAACTGAGTCAATCCCTTGTTAAACGAATAGTCAAGCGTTAGACGCACAACCAATAGTAAGATAGAAATGAGTCAGCAAGCCAACCAATGAGATCGAGCCAATCGATGTTGCTCACATGGTTACCACATTATCGTTCCCCCTCCCGAAAAGCTGCCTTAACCTGGTTCGTAGCAATCAATAGGTTTCACCGTCTTCACGGACCGACGCAGCTGACTTCTTGGTAATGGTAACTCAGCTGGGCCTTCGCGCGCGGATCGGTCGGGCTGATTAAATCCAAGTAGTTTAGGAATGATGTTTTCCAACGGAACCAGGCATCCGATGTCGGTCTGCTGCCGCAATCAGTCCAAAATGGAGATGGGGGTTGGATGGGAAGGTTCATTTTTGCCTCCGCGACGCCACAATGTTGTAGCAAGAAAGCCGTAGGAAAGGTAAAAATGTTTCTCGCAAAATTAACCAAGTACAACTGAGTCAGTCCCTTGTTAAACGGATAGTCAAGCGTCAGACACACAACCAATAGTAAGATAGGAATGAGTCAGCAAGCCAACCAATGAGATCGAGCCAATCGATGTTGCTCACACGGTTACCACAGCTTACAGTGTTGAGCCGAACGCTTTGAAAAGCAGTTTAATCAGCTGGAGTTACCAGCCAGTGATCATCATTCTCCTTGGGCCGTCACCTTTTATCCGCCCTCTCGCACAGATGTCGAATGTGAGGTCAGGCTGTTGAAATCCAGTGAGGCCGCGGGAGCAAATAGATTTCCTCCAGCTCTCCTCATATTTGGTGGACTTGCTCTGATGGATGATTTGCACATCTTACTTGTGAAGCTGTGAGAACAGGCGACTGTCCTAATAGACTGAATCCGCTCCGATATAGTTCCAAGTTTCACGGGGGACTTCAGTTCGGAATGCGGTATTAATTGAGGAATCAGTCTGTTCTTAGCTGCCTCTAAGTTGCCTGCGTTTGCCCTTCTCCGTAGCCTGACTGGTACCCGTGTAAGGCAGATTTAGGAAGAGCAAGCCCTTCATCGAACCCGGGGCTGCATTGACCACATCTTCACATTTCATCCGTTATTGGAACACCACCGCATTTACTGGTGACCCACCGTATACATTGATACCAAAAGTGCCCTCGACTCGGTAGATCACCGTACACTTTGGGACTGTCTGCACAGGAAAGGTGTGTCCGATAAAGATGTAAGTATCGTAAGAGCGCTGTACGCGCGTAGTGCAGACTGGATAATGGCTTACAGCAATCTGTCGTTGCTTTTTAATATCTATATTGGTGTGAAACAAGGTTGCTCGCTGTCAATATTTTTCCCACTTCGCCACTGTCAAATTCATCGAAACGGCGTTCACTGGATACGACCTATGAGGTGTGGAGCTGCTCCCAGTTGATCGACTTCCTTACTTAGATCATGCCGAAGATATTGATGTACTTTGTGACGACTCCCAAGCGTATCTATCAGCACTGGAAAAAGCACCATATTGTCAATCATTTTAGTGTTATGCTTTACACTGTAAGCTGTGGATCAGTTTATCCTAAACGGATCAAACTCCATCCTCTTTCTAGTACTCAAGCAGAATAATTTTCTTGCTTGATAAAAAGAACGTTCACACACAATATAACATTATTATGGGTAACTAAAGGATAAAAGAGAATAGAAAACGTTCAGAAAGGTCGCTACGAACAACTAAATATTGGTACACTGCGCTGTTTAACTGTCTCGTGTCTAGCAGCCAATAAACCGCACCTGCGACCTTGCCATTTTGATCGGGCAATCGGGGCGGACGGATTTTTCTCGAACAGCCGATCAGAGCGGCCCGGTCTGACCTTAGTGACCATAACACAAAGACCCTTGACGAAATTGGCGGGGACTGACCCCTGCGCTGACCCTTGTTGATAGTCCGTTGACCAAGGTGGTTGTAACCTACGGACGTACCGCTTTTGCACACATCGTTCGGGCTTCAAATGCTGGATGTAGCCTCGGCAATGGACAAGACCTGACTGCGGGAGCCTTGTGTGATGCGTTTAGGCAACGAGTATATGACTTTAAAGTCATCCCCAGGGGTTGCGTGGCCAAAATCAAGGTGTGACAGAATATTCGCAACTGACATTTCGGAGTATCACGTGTTTAACTTTTCCCCTTTGCGTGCTCAGTCCAACACAGCTTAACATTTTATCATTGGGCCATAAGTTTTGCCTTCTTCGTAAACAAGGTTGACTAGGTTATGCTAAAAGTGCAGTTTGGTAGTGTAACAATACAGGCGTGAGTCCTATCATCAGATTCATCTGGAGATATTCATAACGTGAAGTCTAGCTTAGTGAATACTTGTCTGGTCGGGTCCTAGTGGTTAGAGCTCAGGCTAACTGAGTCTCCTTGTCCTCCAGGTTAGGAATTTGAAATAGGATGGGGTTCATTTCCGTAAAACCGAATCGTCGTGAAATCCGGTGCCTTACGGACAGGCTTTTTGTGTCATAGCCTTTGCTTGAGGACCTAATCCTTTTCCTATCTAGGTCTGGGCGCCCTGACAGTATCTCAGCCCACGTACAATCATGACTATTTCCTCATACTCCAACCACATCCTACATCGGCCCTCGCGCAGATTAGTATGGGTCACCCTATCTGTTGCATACGGCAGGACGGATAAGCGAAGACCTGCTACCGCCAGCTCCTCGCTTCTTTCTTTTCTACCTGCCTCTCAGATTCCCCCCGACTCCCATTACTAACCTGCAGTTCAGAATCTCCAGGTTAGTTGACAACAGCCTAGACGCCACTAGAGTTCTTCCATCTGCAGCTATGTTCCCGCATTATCCACTAGATTTCTGTCGACAGCAGGCCCTTGTAAGGTCATGGGGCCCCTTTTCCCTGGCAGTGTTCAACGTTTGTGCTCTAAGACAAACAGGTCAACAGGTTGCGCTCACATACACATTCAGTGCCGAGATTAGGCATTTGTCGTCTCCACCTGACGTGTAGAATGCTGTATGTCCCCGCACCTCATCGTTTCGAACATGCCAATGCCATGTGATATCAGCAATACTCCGTAGTTAACGATGATCAGAAATTTGATAGCTCCTCAGGCAGTTTAGACAATGCGTCGTTGCTACAAAGCAGATCGGCCGTACCGTGTCTCGGTAGACGCTCTTTTTATGTGCAAAGAAAATCCATTTTTGGTTCAACCGATGTCGCCGCTTCGCGATGGCAGATGTAACAATCGCAGTAAGTGGAGTTGCCTCAGTTGTGAAATCTATCCCGCTTTTAATCTAAGAACCAACACAAGTTATCTAACCAACTATCTCAGATTCGTCTCTGCCAGTCAGTCCCACAACAGCGCTCCGATTTAAACCTGCAGTGCGCACGCGAAAGGATATAACAATTCCATAATATTTATCTATAGCTAAGTATGCCGCGTCACGACTATCAAGCTGTAACACTGCGTTATCAACGTACTTCGATTTTCCATCTTGCGGCTCCCCATTGCCTACATTGTTAGGCTTTACAATGGACCACTGTATGATGGGACTTACAACAGGACTGGATGGATATAGGAGCTATCGCGACGAGACTGCACCTTAGCGTAGTGCGATGGTTTGTACCTCAGTGATCCACTGAGCTGTGCTGGGT